CTGCTCAGCTACACCCAAAACATCCCTGCGTTATCAGCTCTCTTTCCAGCACAAATCCAAAACACGGCCCCATGCCAGCTACTGTGAAGAAAGTTAACTCTGCCCCAGCCGAAACCAGCACGCGTGGTCCTGGGCAAGGAGCTCTAGGTCACCTCCTTGAGCAGGCAGGGTGTTGGGCCAGGTGCCTTCCAGAGGTGCCTGCCAACCTCAACCCTTCTGTGATTCTGCAAAGCTGGCGTGGGAGCTGCTGTCTAGAGAACAGCTGTTTGTCTGATTTCTGGCTCCCCTTCCTTGTCTTCCCTCTCCTCTTGTTCCCCTCCACCCTGCTAAAATATAATTTTTCTGACCAGCTGGACATTCTGGTAAGAAAATTATATTGTTTCCACATGACAATTTGTTGTGTTGTTTTTGATATGATCTTAGTATCAACCAAGGACAATTTCTTATAGTTAGAGAATTTTACATCTTTACCTAGTAAAAAAAAAAAAAAGGGGGCCAAATTCTGTTTCCTAAGCCCATTGTAACATATCGTTCTTCCTTCTCATCCTCTTTTTATCATAACTGAACGGCTTACGGAGTCCTGAGCCAGGATATCTGATGAAAAGACATACTTACGTACATTTAAAAGAATTCAAGCTTGCATCATATATGACAGCTGATGTATTCTATAAAAGATAAGAAATGCAATGACATCCTGTCATCATTTGGGCTCTTTCTTGGATTATTCTCTGTCACCTGTATATATCTCCAAGATGAACAGACATTTCTGTCAACATCTGACCTATGTTTTGAGCTCTGGGCTTTGGATTGATTATTAGAAGGAGAAAAAGTTCATATGGCTTGAGCCCCTTTAGAGTGTCATCTGCGTCATCTTTGTCTGCCTGGAAGATTTTTTGTAGCCCTCAGCTGTGCTTAGAAATAAATCAGTAAAGAAGTCTCCTCTCAATTAGACCTGCGCAGAGCATTAGAAAATTCAGGGTTGGGATTAGAAATTCATGGTTAGAAAAGATCTGATTGTGCAAGCTAAAGAGCATTTGCAGGGATACTGGTGCAGTTGCCTAGCAGGCAGGTGCAGTGACCACGGAAGATGTGGTTTTAGCCGTGGGAGTGCTCATGGCTCCTGTGGTGACTGGCAGTGGGATGAAGGCAAAATGCTAAAATCAGGA